TAAAATTGCTTGTTAACCCTATTAGTGGCATGGGGGGTTGTTTTTATCCACCCCTCAGGTTTTTCGGGAATATCTCCGAAACCGCTGAAGCTACGATGCTGAAATTTTCTGACTTTTCCTAAAACTAAATTGGGCACATTCCCTGAAAATTTCAAGTTCATAACTTTACCAGGGGCGGCTCCAGAGCACTGGGAATTGGGGGGTCCTATTCGTGAAGCGAGTCATTTGGGCGAAGATCACGATGCTGCACCAGTTTTACGAACAGTGAATGAAAGGTATCATGTGATAACATATACAAAGTTATTGTGCATCCTCTTTTGACACGTTTTTGCTATAATAGGCGGATCCAGGCGTCCAAAAAGGGGGGTTATTTTTTACCTCCCAACATAGGTGCCCTGACACCGCCTATGCATGACCAATACAATTTTAGTCGTTCTCTCATAAGAAAATTGTAACATAACAAGACCATTGCCACCCTTTTTAGAAACAGTACCAACAAAAACCTTATTTACTATACTTTTTGTGTACCCCCAATCTCAATGATCTGTATCCGCCTATGATTTTTGAAAATGCATATTTTTAGGATCCATGTGAATTCCCGGTTCATTCTCTATCGATCGGCAAAAGTTGCGTTAAGATTGGTTCAGAAACCTGGCCGTGATAAACAGTCTAAAATGTATCTGCAATTTGCCCTTTTTTACCCCCCTCTACCCCCCTATTGACATTTTTTAATTTTAATTTTTTTAGAAATGTAGATCTCGTTGAGCCAAATCGAATGCCGTTTGAATTTTGAAAATCGGCCCGTTAGATCTCGAGATATCAAGGGGGGGGGTCGTAAACAGCCCCCCCCCCTGCCACTAATATGGGGTAGCCAGGAGCCTGCCACTAATAGGGTTAACTGTAGAATTGGTGAGCGTTTCAAGATGTCATGTTTTTTGCTCATTTTTACTCGAACATGACCTCAGTTTGACCTCAATAACTCCTGACTTGAGGTGACCTGTGACTTGAAATTTTGTGTGAAGGTGTCAAATTGATGCCCGGTAAGGTACCCAAAATTTAGCGGCGCTGCGCGCCGCCGTTTTTTTCGCTATTTAAGAAAAACCACAGGGGGGGGGGCCAAAATGGCCCCCCCATCAGGGCGCGGGTTAAAAAATGTTTGTATAACCATATGTTTACAAGTTAAACCAAGGACCGTCATGCAAACGGCTGATATTTTCCTTATTTATCTTATTTACTGTAAATCAGCCTGATGCCACCCCGGCTAAGAGAGGAGTAATAAATAAATATCCGCAATATTTTCGGGCATCAAACTTGCGCGCAGGAGGCAATTTTAATCAATAGCATGAAGAAAGGTTTGAGAACGAATGCTCTTATAAAGCACTAAAATTTGGCGGAAACATACCCAAAAACTAAAATGGGGTAGGTATAGGTAAGTACCTAGTTGTAACTGTATGTTAGACAATCATTGCACTACCAGCTTATGCCTTGTTCACTCACACAAATCAGACCGCCTCATTTCTTATTTCAGCCTCATTCTCCAACAGCCCGTTGATCTCTGCAGCCAGTCGCGCTGTTGTGACCGCCGCCTACCTGTTTTTCCGCCGGCCTGTCGGTCGGGGGCGTGGACGCACCGACGCGCCGCGCGCGTCTCGCGATCGATGTCAGTCGACGCTCCAAACCGGCGCCTTACATCGGGACCGACGTTGCTTGGCGCGTCAGGTCACGCGCTGTGGACTGCGGTGACCGGGCGCTACGGACAGGGGTGGGACAGCGAACGGGATGGGACAGTTCACTAGGCTGCTTACCGAGGGTTGTGAAATTCCAGACAAGATACCTTGCGGGATAAGACAGATCAGATGTTCCGGACTTGATGCAGTGTGTTCGTTTCAGCCGGGACAGGGCACGAAATACTGCCAACAAGGCGCTCTCTACACAACGGCTGCCACGAAACGCAAGCCGAGTACTTCATGAAGGAAGGCAAAGATGATGCCCGGAAAAAAACTCTGTGTTGTTTTTCTTCAGGCTGATCGCGCACTAGTTGCCGTGTGCTAGAAGTTTCTTCGATATCCCGGTTCATCCGGTATCGGATATCGGTTAGCCGATATTCCGGTTTTCACTCGATGAGATACGTTCGCCGTCGATTTATGGCCGCAATGTATGCTAGCCGTTGACACGATACGCGGTCTCCGATTATCCACAGATTGTTGGCTTCAGATAGGAATGTGGCAGTACCGTAAACAGCTGAGATTGGTTCTTCCCGTCGACTGTGCCACGCTCAACTGAGCTCTTGTCAAAGTCCCGTAAAGCCGTCTACTCTTACAAATAGGCTTCAGGCTCTTCAGACAGCAATCTTACCCAAATCTGGGACTACTCACGCCACTGTCATTTACTACTCACTATTCAGTACTCACGCTGCAGTTGATAGGGTCGAGCTCAATAAGCCGCAATTTTTATCGCAACTCTTTGTTGTAAGCAATCTTCATAACAGAATATTAAAGTGCTGAGTCTCAAAGCATCATCTACAGTGCACCGTTTCGTCACTGGCCCTTATCCTCACTTCTCCATTATCACTTACTCTTCATCACATCTTCATCTCATTCACCAATTACTCATGGCACTCTCACGAAACGCTCACTCACGACTCTCTGGGGAGACTGTCACCGTCGCCTCTTGCGCACCTCACGGCCCGCGGCCCGCACACTGCCCGGCCCGGCCCCGGCCCGGCAGGTGACACCGGCACCGCCCAAAGGTGCGGGCGCTCTGGCAGAGGCGGCGACAGGCACCGGAACAGGGGGGGGGGGGGGTCCGACGGCAGGCAGACACCGCTTCTGAGATGTCATATTTGTCTGACGCTTATTCTATTCAGTGACAAGTTTATGTCTAAGCCATGGTTATATGTGCAAAATTGAAGATACCATTTGTTATCCCTTGTTCCATCAGAGCACGCCTATAAATCCACTTCATGTCCTTTCTCTCACCCTCGCCTCCCTATGTTCCCAGCCTGGCCACGCCTCTGATTATGGCCCACATGTTTGCAGTTGGCTCCGCTCGCTTCCCGTCGGCGCCGTTACGAGAACAGGCGATTGGCCGCGGAGGGAAATATCAGTTGATCTGTGTGTCGTTCGCGGCATCGTTCCGTCAATGCACACTGATAATGGGATAATGCACGGATAATAATGGCAGGTCGGCGTGGTGTGATTTCAGTCGAACGTTATCACATGCAAGATTGTAAAAATAGTCGGCTGTTACAATCAAAATGTTTACGTAATTTAAACGACATATAACCGATATGGTATTACAAAGCGATTATATGAAAGCTGATGGATTGGAAAACATAACATACGCTTACCTGTAGATAATTGGCAAAAATAAAAAGGAAGAATATGTACTTACAGTACTTGTATGGGGAGCCCCATGTTAAAAGCGTGAGTCGAATTCTACTTGTTTATTTTACGCAATGGCTAACATATTTAATTATATTTCCACTCTATTGTTTTTGGAAAAATAGGAACGCTTTATGAAACCAACCGACAAGTTACATACATGGCTTCATCGGAGCAATCACCAAGATTCGTGCAATCGGCGAAATGGCTGACAGGACCATATCGGTTTGGCATAAAATATTTCCTGCGTAGGCAGTTCGTTTTCAGCTCCCTTTTACTGCCACGCCCATTGGCATGTCGTTTTCCCGTGGGGACGCTACTCGGCAGGTCAGCCGGTCCCCAATTGGTAGTAAAGTCCTGCTGAAAAGTCGGACAAAGTTCGCCAACTCCACCGGGATACATGTAACGTCTCCTTTATGGAGCTGGCGTAAGTTTGGATCAGGGCCCTTGATATGTGATGTCATAGTTCACTTAATTATTCTGGCTTTCCGATAGATCAATTATTAATCCCCCACCCTTTATTTTTGCATACCTACCAGTGATGTAAATATCAGTCCTTCATCAAATTACATACAACTCCGGGCCCTGCCATCTGATCATAGCCTATTGCGTTCTAATTTCTATTTATAGCTGCAGCATCGGTACCAAACTGAGACAATATGTCCGTTTTAGCTGAATTAATTATTCATTCCTCGATCTGGATGTTACATTGATTGTCAATTACGTTACAGCTTGTAATGTCTCTCGGAAAGCCGGTTCTAGGTATTATCACAGGAAAGTGAGGAGAGTTTAATATCAAACTCGGCCACTTTATGTGCAGATTAACTGCTTAGAATGCAGAAGACGATGTGGTCCTTTCTGCCCCTCCCCTTCCGCATCAGGGCGTGGGTTTGATCGTTTGTAACAAATGCAGAACAGGGTGTGACGAAACATCATCAGGTATCCAGCCAGACTCAAAGAATAATGGACAAGTCGGCAATCGGTCCATAGAATGAGTGTTGCGGTCAATAATTGGCGGGTGGTGGTGGCTCTGCATCTTGTATTACGACACTCTGACACGGAATCCATTTAGCGGGTCTGTTTGCTGTCGACATTGAATGAAGCATGATACATCGGAAGGGGATGCCTAGGCAAATGAAATTGGGGTTGTTTCACAAACAATAATTGTTTCACTTAATTAGTCAGAATTGCTGACGAATATGCGGTGCATGTTTGCTCAAACGGTTCATCTACTTCCCAAGCAATGGATATGTCGCTGAGCTAGTGGTCGGTGGATGTCAAGGAAAACTTCTCAACCAGGTGCGTAGGATGCGGCAAAAAAAGTTTCCTTATCAAATGTGATACACGGGAATAGCTTCGTCGCTTACACGTAGAGTGAAATAACGTGTAGCTGTCGTGTAAAGTGATGATAATCCAGACTAAGCTGATATATTGAAATAACAAATGAAAAAAATAAATAACTGAGATGAAATAGGGCTTCGGTTCCTGGAGAATGTCTGCGTCCCCGCTACCGTATTGAGGTTTTATCACTTCAATACGAAAGTTCTTCCATTGACGGGATGTGAAAGAGTTTCGGTTTCCGGAAAATGCGTAAGCAAATTGTACGTTTCGACTTACCATAAAACCAATCCCGACGGTGGCGGCGAAACCTTCCTGGGTGAACTTGCCGGTGTCGAACTGGACCAGCAGTGAGGTCTTGCCGACTCCACTGTCCCCCACCAGAATCGTCTGTCGAACGCAAGAACGGGTGGAGGGAATGAGTGGTCATAAGTCAAATACCACCAGGTTCATGCAATCATCACTATGATAGGCACTCGATACCTATGGGTCCTGATTCATAGATTCGGAAGTCGCAAACTGATTCATATTCGAAGTGAAAGTTACAACTTTTTGTACTATGTAAACCTATGGGTATATAACTTGTGAGTATATAACATCAATATTTAGTTGATATCATTTCATAGGCTTATTTTCAGTTAATAACAATACTGGCGGGAGCAGAGTAAATGCGCATGACAAACTTCTTACAATGCTGGCTGCTGCAGAGCGAATAAGAAAATCCGTTTGCCATGCCTAGCCAATGTAGTCTAAAACCATCAATTCTCAAAGACGTTGGAATTTTATTCATTGCCATGAAATGTTCACAATGAATGCACGATCATTTCTGATCTGGAATTCCGACAAACGAGCGCTGCTGACGTCACCAGCGTCACTCTAATGACGCTGCCGCCCTATTGACTTCATCAGCCGCACCGAGCAGGGCCGTCTCCGTGTGATCAGAATCTCACCTGGGACCGTGCATAACTAGGGGCAAAGGTCATCTGCTCCGACCTCCCCGGAGGATGCCAATACGTGACCAACTGAAAGGTCATCTAATGTGAGATCCGGTGGTGTTGCGCGTGCTTCTTGCACTACGACTGGAAGCACGTGCAGGCAGGCGCAGACGTAAGAGGCTGATCTTGGTTGTGATGTCACGAAAGTCTTTTTAAAGTCTGGCAAGGATGTTTGGCCTGCTCTTGCTTTCTGTTCCTTTGGCGCCGAAAAGGGCATCATGAATTGGGCCCGTTGCCTCAAATAATTGTCCCCTGTTTACTAATGACTCACAATTGTGGAACTGATTGACAGGAACTTAGGAAGATATCATATATGTGGATAAACAAGTATATCTGTTGATTGACAACAACATTCCATGACGAGTTCAGGATACTTTTATATGGTCTCACCGCCAGCCCGTGGGGTAGAGTTAGACGGATGCCGTGACCGAGAGCATGCTTTTCACTGTTCAGGGTACCTATATTGAGTCTAAATTCAGCTATAGCATGAGCCGACGAGAATAGGTGGGAGCTGTGTCAATATCGACAGCCCAGCAATATCACCGCCAGCCCGTGGGGTAGAGTTAGACGGATGCCGTGACCGAGAGCATGCTATTCACTGTTCAGGGTACCTATATTGAGTCTAAATTCAGCTATAGCATGAGCCGACGAGAATAGGTGGGAGCTGTGTCAATATCGACAGCGTCAAGACGGTGTCATCTCACTCAGCGACGCAGCGCGGAAAACTGAGGCCTGAAGTCAGATCACGCAGCGGCCAGCAGATGAACACCGAACTGCAACTAGCTTGTTCTTCGTTATTCAGAGAAAAGAGAAGGGTCGCTAATAGGAACATTTACCCTACTGCTGGTTCCCTTTTAAGTGCCCCTTCTAAGCATCGGTGTGACTTGCAGCTACTTTTACTTTAGTGCCTTCTTGTGTTGTCCGTGTGACCTTTGCCTGACCTCCTTTTAGGCATCAGTATGGGTCACGCTGACCTCTGTAAGGGCGTGGGCATGACCTCCGCTGACCTATTTACGGAGTGGACATCAGTATGACCCTCGCAGCGTCCGAGCCCAAGCTCATTGGACGTACCGCCGGATTTGACCGCGCTTAGGGGCTTAGCCTGTCTGTGGCGGCCATATTTCGCAGCCGATCCTGCCTGTCCGCTTTGGAAGGCAATGAGGCCGCAGCGTAGCGCCCCGTGACGGGGCGTAATCACTCCTCAAAAAATGGGCTGGAAATAACTTTCTCCGGGGGCGGCATTAAATGCCAAGGGAAGGGCGGCACTTATGTTTCGGGAGCCAGAGGTGAGTACTTGAGGGCATTTACAGTGTCGCTGTTGTGTGTCAAATTCTTACGGTTTGTGAAATACGAACAATAATCAGCAGTCAACTGACTACACGTTATAAGGGGCAGCCGCAGAGAACACGCCACAGCTCTGGTGTTCGAGATATTGGTAGGTACTTTATGCGGTAGATATGCATGCGTAAGATGGGTGGTCAGCCCGCTGCTAGCAGTTTGACTTTGCTACTACGCACCGGATTGATAAATGATAGGCGCACTCTTCAATAGTTCACTTCATTCAGGTGAGTTCAATTGCAATGGGATCTGACCATGGGCGTCGAAAGCGGGGGGGGGGGGGCTCAGCGGTCTCTAAGGGCCCTTACCGGCCTCAGGGCCCTTACCGGCCAGAGCGTCCTAACCAGCTTGAGGGGCCTTACCGGTCCATTAGGGGCCAGCCCTAGGGGCCCCAGGCCACACCCGTCTGTGACGGTCCCACACCAATTTCTTTGAGGGCCCCGTAATGGCGACTGATAGCCCTCACCGGCGCCTCTGAGGGTCTAAACAGGTCCCGAAGATCCCCCACACGGGCACGAGGGGCCCTGTGGCGCCAATTGGCCGTTGAGGGTTTACTGACCATATTTCTGGTCATATTTCGACTCAGAAGTGCCCCACAGGGCTCGTAAGGACATCCCATGGGCCCCTGAGTAGCCACACTAAGTTCTCCATAAAGGCCCTACGCCAGCTTCTGAGTGTCCCTTGCTGGCTTCTGAGGGCCCTTACCGGCCTATTACGGGCCACCTCTAGTGGCCTCGAACCCGCCTGTGATACCCCACACACAAATTTCTGAGGGCCCCATAACGGCGACTCTGAGAGCCCTCACCGGCGCCTATGAGGTCCCAAACCGGCGTATCTGAGGGTCCCCCCCCAACTCTGACGGCCTACACCAGTATCTCTAAAGGCCCTGTATCGGCGGTCCTGAGGGCCCCACACCAGTGGCTCTGACGGCCTCACACTGGTGACTCGGAGGGTACCAGCAGCGTCTGAGAAAACCATGCCGGTGTTTAAGGACCCCACAGGGCTCCTCAAGGCACCACCGACTTCTGAAATCCCCTTGTCGGCTTATGAAGGGTCCACAACAGCAGCTCGCGCCTCTGATGACCCTGTGTCTCTGAGGGACTCCACATTGGCGCCTGTGAAGGGCTTCACCGGCGACTGTGCTGGTCCTACACCGGCGCTTCTGAGTGCTCCCACACTGCCACCTCTGAGGGCCCATACCAGTGCTTCTGAGGTCCCCACGCTGGCACTCCTGAGGGCCCCACACCGTGCCTCTTTAGGACCTTTATCAGCGGCTCTGAGGACCCAACAAACATCGGCGCCTCTGAGGGCCCCACACCAGCGCATCTGACGGCCACCCACCGGTGACTTTTGAGTGCCCTACATCGGCGACTCTGAGGGCCCCACCGGCGTCTGAAAGTATTGTGCCGGTCTCTAAGGACCCCACAGAGCTTCTGAAGGTATCGCCGCCCGCCGGCCTATGAGAGCCCTTTGCTGGCCTGAGGGCCCCTTGCTGGTCTCTGAGAGCCCCCTGCCGGCTTGTAAGGGGTTCAGACCAGCAGCTCTAGCCTCTATGGGCCCCACATTCGTCTGTGACGGCCCCACACCAGTGTCTCTGAGGGCCCACAACGGCGCCTGTCAGGAACCTCACTGGCGTCTCTCAGGGCCTCACACTAGCACTTCTGAGGGTCCACACCGGCACCTCTTTGGCCTCAGTCAGCAATAATACCTCTGAGGACCCCACAATAATGCTACCGAACCGGTCCTACCGAAGGCACCACTTAACCCGTATTGGGGGAGGGGGTCGAACGGACCCCCCCCCCATGGTTTTTCGCGAATAAATCACGTAAAAAGCGGCGGATCGCGACGAAACTGTCAGTACTCTCGCGTTAATCAATTTTACACCTACCCTGAAAATTTCATGACCCTGACCCTAATGATCTTTGACCTGTGACCTACTTTTCGAGACCATGTTTGGCCGGAATCGCGATTCGGCTGATGTCGGCTCGCATTAGCCGCGCGTTTGCAGTCTTTTCGTGGTTTCAAGCTTTCAAACATGGGATATGATGTTGCTCCCATGCATTACGGTGGGTGTCAAGGTCACCGGAAGGTTAGGTCAGGTCATTGACCTTTGATGACCTCGGTTCACTTTTTCGAGTTTTACATGTTTCTAGGCTAGTTTTTTTAGCTGAATTCGAATTTAGCAACCATTTGAACATTTACGAAGTAGTTGTGGTGCCTTCGTAACATGCTACGAAGCTGTCAGAGGCGGTTGCCACCTACTACGAATACCCGGCAAAACCCTTACTGGTTGACCTGACCTGACCTGACTCGACCTGGCCTAAATGCATTAAGAGATCATCTATGATCATAACTAACATGATATTCGTAATCAGCACCCTAAAAACCCCATAGTAACCACGTTTTACGACGTTCTAACTGGTCCCGATTTTCCCGACTTTTGGGTCATTGACCTGACCTGGAAGGTCAACCGATGATCTAGGACCTTAAAATTGGGTATCATCGGCTTCCTCTCGTCACGGGCAACACGCTCGTTTTTTCCGCGAAGCTCTAGGTCGATCAGGGGCGAAACGGCAAGGGGGGCCAACGAACCCCCCCCCCTTATACGTTCGTGGCTGGAAAAACACCAATACGGGCGAGGGTTAAGTCCTTTATCACCTCGCTAGACGCTAAGCTTCAATCCCATACCGGCCTTCGGAAGGCACCACGCCAGTGCACTCACTGCCCCACACGGGCAACTGTAAAGGCTTCACACTGACCTCTCTTGAGTCTCACACCGGTGCCTTCCTCTGAGGGTCCCATATCGGCTCATTGCCCACGGCCCGGCCACTCACCGGTGATGCTGAGAGTCCTCACCGGTGACTCTGAGGGTCCTACACTGAAGACTCTGGAAGCCCCCACCAGCTTCTAAGAGCACCACGCGACGCCGGCCTCTGAGGGTATCACGCCAAAACCTCAACGGATCACACACCCGCCTGTGAGAGCACCACGCCGACGCCTCTGAGAACCTCAAAGGGCTTGACCAGTGCATCTCTGAGGGCGTAACACTGGCATTTT